TTTGACGGCACGAAATATATATACAATTGAGTTTGAAGTTTTTAGTTTCTGTTTTTGAAACATGGTAATTCCTTTATAGCGATGGAACCCTCTTTTTAAATTAGTAAATTTATAATATTTATGCTCTGTAGATTTTCATTGAGCACTGTTTTGTAAAAATAAAAATAATTAATAAGAACACCGGATTATATATCTTACTGTTCTTTCTTTTTATTATCAGACATTAGCAGAGGTATAATAATAGCGTTAAAACCAAGCCTGACGACTGTCATGTGTATGAAACTCAGAGTTATACCAAACGGTGAGCAACGAAACGTATATTTATTATTTGGTCACACACACACACACACACACACACACACACACACACACACATATATATATATATAAAACAAGATTAGCCGGTCATTATATATATATATATATATATATATATATATATATATATATATATATATATATATAATGGATCTTAGCTCTTACAAAATTAGCTAAAAACAAAATTACAAAGCGACAAGGATTGGTAGACGGATGTGGAATAAACACAAATGTAGCTGATATATATATATATATATATACGGATGGCTATATAAACAAGAGTAGCCGGTCATTATATATATATATATATATATATATATATATATATATATATATATATATATATATATATATATAAAAACAAGAGTAGCCGGTCATATATATATATATATATATATATATATATATATATATATATAATGACCGGCTAGTCATGTTTATAAGCCATCCGTCTGCCAATCCTTGTTGCAGGCACCTTCTCAGCCACATTTGTGTTTATTCCACAAACACTGATACCCACGTGTATTTTTGTAATTTTTGCTGATCTAAGATAAATTTAAGAGTCATTATTTAAACATACACACAAACAGACATACACACATATCTTGCTGTTGTTTGGGGATCTGATGAAGCCTTGATAAGCGAAATTCATTAACAAATGTATTTCAATCAAATATGTTTTTACCAAACGATATCCTAATTTAAAAACATATATTGTCGACACGGAAGATGCATGGTTGGCACAAAACCCAAATCTTTTACTTTCAACCCATTCTGAAGGATTGTATGAGGATTTGGATTAGATTAATTTCAGAAAAGGGTAAATGAATTTCTTATAATGAGAAGAGGATTTGTCTTTAATTCGATACAAAAAAAATGGGAAAATGCATAAACAACTTTCGGAACTAAGAATTGTAAAGAAAAGATACCAGAATAAATATTAAGGACTTTTAAAAAAAAAAAGTCATTGATTTTGTTTCTTTAATCACTTAGGCTCTGCACTAAAATTCATTATTTAAATCTACGCACAAATACACGCATTTCCTTTTATCGTTTTCGGATCTGATGAAGCTTTGAATGGGGAAATGCATTATCAAATCTATTTTCAATCATACATACATACATATATATATATATATATATATATATATATATATATATATATATATATATATATAAGGTATAAGGTCTACTCCTCCTCCCCCAATACAAAGTATGCTTGAGAGAGATATGAAATTAATCCTCCTATAATCTACCATGTCTCTTTAACTACTCCTTTTACATTCTCTGTTAAATTACAAAAACTTACACTACCCATCAATTTTAATTTCTTTTTTCGTTTCATTTCATTTTTTGGAAGTGCTATCTGATGATCCAGCGTCCTTTAAAAGGGCTCTGGTGAAATAAATTACTATAATGGTACCTGTAAGTGGTCTGTTTTTTTTATATATATATATATATATATATATATATATATATATATATATATATATAAAAAATCAACATTGAATCAACACTCAGAGGCGACAGGCTGTTTCATGATGGATGTAATCGTCCAGCATGAAACAGCCTGTCACTTTAGTGTTAACTCAATGTTCACTTTTATATTTATATTTACCACGCTCTATCTCTGATATTGAGCACTTTATCCCATAAATATACCACACCTTAAAACTATATTTCTTTATATATATATATATATATATATATATATATATATATATATATATATATATATATATATATATATATATATATATATATATATATATATATATATATATATATATATATATATACTAGAATAATCCTAATGAGACAGGCAAACCTACCTAGGTTTCACCTCAACAGATCTTCCAGGAAAAACTGGATAAAAAGTGGGAAAAAAACGAAACAGTATATTTATTGATAAAAACTAATAAAACCATAACCACGTGACAAAAAAAAAGCGTAAGCCAATAACTAGACACTATCACTACCACTACTATATATATATATATATATATATATATATATATATATGCAGTGGTAGGAACCAAATATTCGTTCACATACAAACTTTTAATTTATTGTATTTCCAACTAATGAATAAACGTAATTTTCATACAGTTAACTGTACACTGATGCATAATAACTAAATATGCAAAGAAAACAGAAAAGTATTTCGTGCAATTCAAAAAAGAATATATAATCTTCATTTAATACTTTGTAGAATAGCCATTATTCCCTTCTATAAAACACAACCTCTTTTTGTAGTTCTCAATGGTTTTCAAATTTTAGTTGGTATTTTGTTCCATTCTTCTTCGCATATGGTCTTCAGATTCGGAATACTTGTTGGAACTCTCGATTGGATTTGAATATTATTTGAATAATGCCACAGATTCTCGATTGCATTTAAATCTGTGGACTGACTTAGCCATTTCAGGATATTTGCATTATTTTCAGCAAGCCATTTCTTTATAGATTTTGCATTGTGCTTTCGATCATTATCTTGGAAAATCCAATCAGGAGGAAGTTCAAGATTTTCAACCGAAATCATTTAACTTTCTTCCAAAATAGTTTGATATATTGCGGCATTCATTCTACCATCTATTACTGATATGTTGTCTGTACCTTTTGCAGAAAAAAAAAACCTAAACCATGATACTGCCACCACCAAATTTCACTGTTGGAACTGTGTTCTTTTATTTGAAGGCATCGCCACCTTTCCTCCATACAGGATTTTTAGAATTATGTCCAAACAACAAAATTTTGGTTTCGTCTGTCCGTAATACTCTTTCCCATCACCAGTTGTCCTTATCCTAATGTTCACGAACGAATTTCAACTTGGCATCTCTGTGTATTTTCAATAGCAGTGGTTTTTCCGAGGGGAGCTTGACTTTAGATTGTTCCTATGAATTTCATTGCTTATTGTTCGTTTTGTGACACAGATTCCTGATGAAAGCAAATCATCCTGCAACTCTTGACGAGTAACTATTGCATTTAGTTTAATTTCTTCAACATCTTCGAGGAAATTAATGCTTGACGCATTAATTTCCTCGAAGATGTTGAAGAAATCTTCTGTGAAGCACCTGTTCTTCTTTGATTTGTAACCGTTATGAGATTTTTATATCTTGCAATGAATGAACTAATGGTAGTCAATGGAATATTAATATTGTCTAAAATTTTCCTGTAATCTTTACCTTCTTTCCAGAGCTTAACAATCAGTTTTCAATTGTTTACCTCTTGCCATGAAGATAACCTTCTTACACTAATATCAATTACAGAATGTTCTGTTTGTATTTTTTAGGGTAAAAATAACTACTGATAACATTATTGACTCCTTCTAGAATATTCCACTTGAATAATCTAGAACATTAAAGAAATTTAAAAGTTTTAAAATCTTGAAATTTGCATTGTACGAATACTTTTATACTCATTAAATGGATAAATGGAATTTATTTCTATTAAATTACTTTTTTCTGTTTTCTATGCATATTTAGCTATTATGATCTTTGTACAGTTAATTATATGAAAAGTATGTTTATTCATAAGTTGGAACTACAATACATTAAAAATTTGTATGTGTACGAATATTGTTTTTTTCCCTCCGTTTAATATATATATATATATATTAAATGTATCTTATATTTTTAATGTATATATATTTATGTATTTTATATTTTTAATGCATATATATATATATATATATATATATATATATATATATATATATATTAAATATATATATATATTAAACAGAGGGAGAAAACCAATACACATACAAATTTTTTAATGTATTGTTGTTTTAACTAATGAATAATATAGAACACAGGAACATTGTTGTTTTTGGAGTATATATATATATATATATATATATATATATATATATATATATTACCACTCAAAAAATGTTCCTGTGATCTACAGAAAACTTGTCAGAAGACATGGCCTGTCTGAAAAGAAATACCCGACTTATCCTTTCTTAGATGTGAGAGGCATCGTCCACTCTGAATTTTTCTCACATGGATAGACGATCAATCAGCAAGTCTAAAAAGCAATACTGCAGTGTTTGCTTTGTTCAGTGCGCGGGAAGAGACGAGAGTTGCGACAGGACAAATCGTGTCTCCTTCATCACGACAATGCATCTGTTCACAACGTCCTAAGCATCCGTCAGTTCCTGGCTGTGAAGAACATTGCCGTACTGAAACAACCTTCCTATTCACCTGATCTTGCTCCATATGACTTTTTCTTTTCCCAAGGCTCAAGGGGATGAACAAGAGGAACTGTTTTGAAGGCGAGGAAGTCATTAAGAAGGGTGTAACGACGGATTTGAGGAGCAGTCAAGTTGAATCCTTCCAGCAGTGCGTAGAAGGGTTTGTTGTTTGGAATTAAAATAAATTGTGTTTAACATCAGTCCCCTTGCTTTTCGGACGGACAGCGTATATTATTTAAGCCTTTGTACTTAGTGGATACCCGTATTTGAATAGACGTTCCGTTTATTTATTAAACAGTATATTTATTTATTTTCACCTACCGGACAGAATATTTGAGAAATCTTATCAGAAAAATATGGCCCCTCCAGTTTATTTTTCGCTGAAATATAATGAAAAATTATAAAATTTTCATCTGATTTTAATGAAAATAATGATAATATCTGGAGAAAAAATCTTGAAAAAAAGTGTCAGTTTCAGTTGACATCACGACCATATCACTACTGAAATACCAGTTCTCCTACGATCACCGAAGTTAAGCTACGTCATGCTTGGTCAGTAACTATATGGGTGACCACTTGCGAATACCAAATACTGTAAACTTGGATATGTGGATAGTCTAAAAAGATAGGAATTGGAAATCAGAGAGTCGAGTTCCAATTCTAGTTGGGTTCGTTATATTCACTTACGCGCAAATACCATTGAGTAAGGTATAAATCCATCTCTTCTCCGCCCAGCTATGGGTTAATTAGTAAAACTTGTATTACTAAATCTTTATTATTTCCCCCAAAATGATTACAATCTAAATATTTCCTGGCTTTAAATAACCTGCAAAGTGTTGATAAATCGTAAAATAACGAAACAGTCATTCCATTGGCACCGGGAGCATATACACCCGAAATACACCCAGAAACTGCACGTACATCGTAGCAGAAATTGAAATCGTTAAACCGAATTCAAATTTCACCTTTGTATGAACCTCTACTTCCAGGTATGTGCTAAACAGATTGGGATCTCGAGGTTTATGTAGTAATCTGTATTAATCTGTGTAATAAAAAGAAACGTTGAATTTCAAACTGTAAAAGCAAGTAACAAGGAAACACTACATAATCCTACCCAAAAATACATGGTAATCTGCAAGTAATGAAGAAACTTGGTGCCTGGAGCGCCACGACTGTCTACGTCCGAGATTTACCTTAAAAAAGGAAAACACCCCCCCTTCCCAGATTGTGTAACAAGTTCAGTTTTAAACGTGGGGATCCGAGTGTTTCCATTCGGGCCGCTGGTCTAAGCTGGTCATAGCTTGTCTAGACAGGTCATAGCTTGTCTAAGCTGATCAAAGCTTGTCTAAGCAGGTCATAGCTTGTCAAAGCTGGTCAGAGCTTGTCTAAGCAGGTCATAGCTTGTCTAGACAGGTCATAGTTTGTCTAAGCTGGTCATAGCTTGTCTAGACAAGTCATAGCTTGTCTAAGCTGGTCATAGCTTGTCTAAGCAGGTCATAGCTTGTCTAAGCTGGTCATAGCTTGTCTAAGCTGGTCAGATCTTGTTCAAGCTAATCATAGACTGTCATACCACTGCTACGTAACAGATGTTACGCAACGACGGAAGGGACATAAGGAAGGAGACAAGGACTCCGGAAAGGAATAGATACTACATCTGCAGCATCTACAACGATGGGGGGAAAAACACCCATCTCCTCCCCTGCCAATTCTTCCAGAAAATCCGGGGGCCCAAGATTGCCTATGCCCTGAACATGCGTAGCATTTGAGGAGGTTAAATAGCAACGTAGACTGGACTCTTTAGTCTTGTGTGCCAACCATTATAGGAGAAGGGATTCTAAACCGTAGAGAAGGTATTAGGAAAACGTTTCTCTCTATCCCATGATCGATTGATTGATTGTTTAACGGCATATCAACACTTTATGGGTCATTTAATGCCGAAATTTAAACATTCTTGAGATCTTTGAAGTAATAAAAATTATGATATGTTATTCTGCTTTCACAATTGAATACATGGTAGATGATACTCAGCTTTTGTGTATATACATATTTGTGGGGACATGATTACTAGAGGCGGTGATATGCGTGTTTTATGTTGTAGCTTTCTGCGAATTATATTTTGGAATACCATTTGATATAAGGAATTTGGAATACCATTTGATATAAGGAATTTGGAATACTGTTTTAATATAAGAAATTTGGAATACCATTTGATATAAGGAATTTGGAATACTGTTTTGATATAAGGAATTTGGAATACCATTTGATATAAGGAATTTGGAATAATGTTTTAATATAAGAAATTTGGAATACCATTTGATATAAGGAATTTGGAATACTGTTTTGCTATAAGAAATTTGGAATACCATTTGATATAAGGAATTTGGAATACTGTTTTGATATAAGAAATTTGGAATACCATTTGATATAAGGAATTTGGAATACTGTTTTGATATAAGAAATTTGGAATACCATTTGATATAAGGAATTTGGAATACCATTTGATATAAGGAATTTGGAATACTGTTTTAATATAAGAAATTTGGAATACCATTTGATATAAGGAATTTGGAATACTGTTTTGATATAAGAAATTTGGAATACCATTTGATATAAGGAATTTGGAATACTGTTTTGATATAAGGAATTTGGAATACCATTTGATATAAGGAATTTGGAATACTGTTTTAATATAAGAAATTTGGAATACCATTTGATATAAGGAATTTGGAATACTGTTTTGATATAAGAAATTTGGAATACCATTTGATATAATGAATTTGGAATACTGTTTTAATATAAGAAATTTGGAATACCATTTGATATAAGGAATTTGGAATACTGTTTTGATATAAGAAATTTGGAATACCATTTGATATAAGAAATTTGGAATACTGTTTTGATATAAGAAATTTGGAATACCATTTGATATAAGAAATTTGGAATACTGTTTTGATATAAGAAATTTGTACCATTTGATATTTTTGGTTGTTGGTTTTTGATTAGAAATTTCAACATTTGATATAAGGGTTTGGAATAATGCCGAAATATAAGAAATTGTCACATATTTTTGGTTGTTTTTTGTTTAAATATAACATCTCTCTGCAATTGAACTGGTTCTGGTTATTTACCCATAACAATGTTTTGTTTTCAACTAAATATAAATTGAACGAATTGAACTGGTTGTTTTTATATAAAAATGTATTGTTGGTCATTTTACTATAAATATGAATTATTGGTTGTTTTTATATATAAAATGTATTGGTCTTTTTTTTACTATAAATATGAATTATTGGTTGTTTTTATATATAAAATGTATTGGTCTTTTTTTTACTATAAATATGAATTATTGGTTGTTTTTATATATAAAATGTATTGGTCTTTTTTTTACTATAAAAACTGGATTTTTATACTTTCATAGTGTTTTATTTGCGGGTTTATATTTGCCAATAGCTGAGACCCTGAAAGATGCTACCACTCCGGGTCAAGTTGGACCTGGGAACAACAGCAATTAGGAGGTAGTTCCACGCTCCTGAAAATGTTCAATCTCCCGATCAGAGGTGTTGCTGCCGGATGTAGTTCATCGTCGTACCCAGGACTTTCTTTCTCATGAATCGATAGCAATCCAGAAAAAAATAATAATGAAAAGGAATCTGTGGAGAGCCGTAATCGTCGACGTCCTGGAGAGACATGGCATGTTACAAAGTATTTGCTTTAAACCAGATGCAGAAAGCTAAGTTTAGCTTAGTCTGGAATATAAGCTGAAAATCTCATGAAGATCGAACTCAGTGGAATCAAGAATTGGATAGAGATACGAGATTTGTGCCATCACGCTTCGGTAGGAGTCTATTTAAGCATTGATATCATACGACTTTTAGCAGCCGTTATGTTATGTCTTCTTTCCATTAGAGCCAATATTTAAGTGTCTTAGAGTAAATAAAGCAAATACGAGGAACCTTAATGGTGTTTGGGAGAAGATAACCAAAGTACACTTGTCTGCAAAATAGCTTATTACCAATTGGGATGTGTATGTGGATCTTGTTAAAATCAGTGAACGCTCGCAGACGCGTAATTGTCTGTTGAACAGAATGAAAACTTCGATATCAGATGTAAAAGCATCTCCTTTTTCTTGGAATCTATTTATCAGTTGGAAAATTTAAAATGGTCAAGCGTGAACTTATAAGCGATACACGCTCTTGAGAGTGAAGTGCAGTAGATACAAAATTGAATTTCAGTCTGATGTCTTCTACTAGCAGCTGAGATGCGGGTCCTCGTGATTGCTAGCTTATCTTTGGAAAAATGAAGCTGGACTATCAAGTCTCTTCAGCTCTTTTTCTTTAGTGACTAGTTTAATGCTAGTAAAATCAGCGATACCCACTGAAAAAAAATTACTTTATTAAAAATAACGATCAAAAGAAAAAATAAACACCACAAATCTTCTTCTTTGATGTGTAATAGCGTTTCAGGATGTTGGTGATCGCTGCCCTCTACGACTTGTCATCGTATGTAACCCGTATTAAAAGTTTGTCTTTTGGCTATGACTCCCTGTCCTTTTCCTGCTATTAATTTACTGAAGTTCGAGAGGTAGGTTTCTCGTTTCTTCTCTATGTTCCTCCTGCCTTCAATATGTCCTGTGAGTGTCAAATTCTCCAAGTTCTCTTTTCTCATTGTTTGGCCGAGAAATTTCAACTGTCTCTCTCTGATGCTACGTATAGGCGCCCTTTTTGTTTCTATTTTCCTTAAAACTCTCTCGTCAAACAAAAAGTGTTCAGTCAATGCTATTCCCAGCATCCTTCAGTAGTGCGATTCTTGGCAAAATTCAAAGAAGGATCTGTCATGTAATCTATCCTGGTCAGGCATCTCGACTTTAATCACTTTCCCACTGATGTGACGAGGCTTCCTTCTGCTTTTTTTTTCTACAAATATTTTTATGGTGGCAGATCTGACGAGCATTTTTTCTTGTGCCCCAACGATATGAACTTAAGCGTAGTACTAGGTCCCACTCTTTTACTGTTGAAATACCTAAATGCAATCGCCACCTCTACTTCAACAGTTTTTTTCTCGCACTTCCCACGCGATTACTGGGCAGGTCGAGAATCTGTTATCGAATTTTAAAGAAAAACCCATATCCATTTATTGTAAAAATACAGTTAATAAATAAATTATAACTATTTTATAATGGGGAAATACTTTTCAACCAACCTGTAGATTAAAAAGGTATACATTAATCCGGTTTACATTAGTGCCAAAAAGAAAGACATTAGTCCGGATTACACAATTCAACAATTTGGTTTGGTTTGTTTTGTTTTATGGCATATCAACCTCAATGGGTCATTTAATGCCGACAACTTTTTTTCCTGGTAATATTTTTGTTTTATCAAAAATCTATTTCTGTTAATATTTTTTTTTCAAAAATGTCTAGCTGGTAATATTATTTTTTCAAAAACATATAGCTGGCAACACTTTTCTTTCAATAACGTATAGCTGGTAATATTATTTTTTCAAAAACTTACAGCTAGCAAAATTATTTTTCAAAAGCGAATTATCAGAAGCCTTGCTGTTGGACGTAGTTTATCGTCTTACCCAGGACGCGGATGTAGTTTACCGTCATATCCAGGACTAGACCTAGGTTTAGGGGTTAACTATTTGCCCATAGCTGGGAGCCTAACAGGTGCTACCACCCCGGGACAGGGCGGACCTGGGAACACCAGCAATTAAGAGGTGGTTCAACACTCCTGAAAACCTTCTGAGGCCTTGCTGTTGGACGTAGTTTATCGTCTTGCCCAGGAAGCGGATGCAGTTTATCGTCATACCCAGGAGGGACAAGTCACCAAGCTAAACATTCGTCCGGTTTACACTAGTGTAAATAGATAGACATTTGTTCTGTTTACACTAAGTTAAAAGAAGTAAATATGTCTGGTTTATTTTTTCTGTATAAGCTATGTCACCTCATGACAAAGGCGAACACGGCTCACCACAACGTCCTGTCCTTTGTAGCTCTTAATAAACTCTGTCATCTATTTACTCAAGCTCAGTAAATATTATATGCGTTATTTTCCTTCTGGCCTTCAACCTGTCCTGTGAGTTTCAAATTTTCTACGCCCTCTTACCTCGTCATGTGCCCTAGAAATATCAAATGTCTCTTCCGGAGGTTAAATATAAATTCCTTTTTTGTTTTCATTCTCTCAAGAACTTCGTCTTTCTTCACACATTCGGGCTATGGTATCATCAGCATGCTGTAGAGCAACATTTCTATTGCTTCAAGTCTCTTTGATGAGATTTTCCATTATTAACTGCCATAGAGAGGAACAGATATCAGGTAAATAGTTTAGTACTCTTTTAATTGTTTCCAGTGATACTAGAGTAAAAAAGAAATGGAGACACTTGTCCGTTTGATACTTGAGTAATAAATTTAGACATTAGTCCGGTTTAGAGTAGAGTGAAATAGGTAGACATTTGTCTGGTTCAATCTAGGTAGACATTTATTCGCATTATACTAGATTAAAACACGTAGATATTTATCCGATTTACACTTGGGTCAAAAAGGTAGACATTTTGTTTGGTTTACACTAGAATCAGAAAGGTGGACAGTACTATGGTTGGTACTGTAGTCATCGAAAAAGAAAGGTTGGCATAGAACTATTTTATACTAGTGTAAAAAAGAGTAGATATTAATCAAGATAATATTCAAGACTGTAAGTATTTTACCCTCTCTAGTCGACGTTAGATTATTGGCCACATCCTATAGGGAAAACATCGTGTTTGGTTGTTTAGTGTATTTTGATTTTCTATGATGAAATATATTCTTATCTTTAGGTAAAGTTATTATAGCATTTATACTTTCTTAAAAAAGTTATTCGCTTTGAGTAGAGTTATTATGGCAGGTATCCTTTTTTTAAATTATTGGGTAAAGTTATTATGGCATTTATCATTTTTAAATTATTAGCTTTGAGTATAGTTATAATGGCATTTATCCTTTGTTAACTTATTACCTTTAATAAAGTTATTATGGCATTTATCCTTTTTTAAGTTATTAGCTTTGTGTAAAGTTATTAGGGCATTTATCCTTTTTTTAAAAGTTATTAGTTTTGAGGATTTCTCCATTTTAAATTTATTTTCTTTGGGTAAATTATTATGGCATTTATCTTTTTGAAGTTATTAGCTTTGAGTAAAGTTATTATTGCATTTATACGTTTTTAAAAGTTATTACCTTTGAGTAAAGTTATTATGGCATTTTGCTTTTTTTAAGTTATTAGATTTTGGTAAAATTATTGTGGCATTTATCTTTTTTTAAAATTATTACCTTTGGATAAAGTTATTATGGCATTTATCCTTTTTTAAGTTAGCTTTGGGTAAAGTTATTATGGCATTTATCATTTTTAAAAAAGTTATTAGTTTTGAGTATTTATCCTTTTTAAATTTATTATCTTTGGGTAAATTATTATGGCATTTATCCTTTTTTAAGTTATTAGCATTGAGTAAAGTTATGGCATTTATTCTTTTTTTGAATGTTATTAATTTTGAGTAAGACGTCACTAGCATTGCTTATTTTCCTTTTTGTTTATTATTACTTTGTCCTGGCTCGTTTATTCTTTTTTTATTTGCCTCTCGTGATCTAGACGATCATTTTCCCTCACCACTTCTTGACGTTTTTGTAGCTATTTGCAATGTTTGACTTTTTAGTCTCTCTCCTAATCTCGATTCTACCAGCCATTTACACGAGCTTGTTAGGTAGTTTATTCTCTGCTTTTCTCTGTCTGTCTTGCATTCAATATGTCTTGTGAGTGCCGAACTTTTCAAGTCGTCTTTCCACATTATGCGCTCCAAAAATTTCAACTGTCTCTTTCTGCTGCTGAATCTTTGCTCATATATTCACTCCATGGTATTCTCAGAATCCTTCAGTAAAACCACATTTCGGTTGCCTCAAGTCTCTTCTTCATCTGTGATGAGATTGTCCAGCATTCACTGCTATATAGGAGGACAAATAGCCCATAACAGTCCACTAAGCTTTTCTTTGTTTCTTACGAAGTTTTCCTGTTTCTTAATACTTTGCTTAACATTTGGAAGGCATTTTCCCGTCCACTGTTAATACGCTTCCTTGATATTTAATTTTTGTTCTGGCTTGATTGCAGTGTCTCCAATTCATAGTTTGCATTTTGAGTTTTCTCTTTTCTGACAAGCATACATTCTGGCATCTTGCAAATGATAGTTAGTCCTTTCTTCTTGCTTTCCTTTACTACCTTCTGTAGCAGTGACTGTAGTTTAGATTTCGTGTCTGCTATCAACACTTGTCATCTGTATATTTTATAATGTTAAGATTGTTGGCGCCAACAATGAATCTTATTAGGTTTTCAGAATAGCTCCACAATGGAAGTTATTTATTAATCTTATATTCATATTGTATAAGACCAGTTCAGTGAATAACTCGTCAAGAATGCGACGCGATATACTAACGAGCCCTAGGCAAGGTTGGAAACCATCACGTTATAGAAGGTTCCTAACAGATTTTTTTTTATGTACTTATGTATAGAAAATGGTTGGACGTGTCACGTGATGCCTATTGAGATTCGGTGTCGTGGGTTTCTGGGACATTCGGTCATTTCCTTCCTTTCAAAAATTGGCATCACTGGCCGTTGGTTGAAAAGCGTTTCGCATCGCCTTCAAAAACTGTTCAACACGCGTCAAGTTGGATTTGGTGGAGATCAAAACAAGCAAATAGAATGCGCGCAACATCCCGACCTAACATGCGCAAGTGAGATATTTGCGTGGTCGTCTATAACGACTTTTACGAGCGCGTCAATAACAGCAAACGCGTTCAAGAAACTTTCATTGCAGATAGATTTTACTTAAAGGAACAATTAGTTAGCTTATCTTCATGGTGGCAAACGCTGCTGGTGGCGCCAGGGGTGGCTGTTCCGACATAGCCACCGAAACCGTGATATCACCACTGGTCGGCGGCTGATGAAGACAGGGTATCGCACGTGCTAACACATGTTGTATGTTAAAAAAAAATTGATGTCTATCTGAAAAGGTCTCAGATATTTAATATTAATTGTAATGCTGAAAATATGTCGAAATTTATTAAATATTTGTATTTCCTAAAACCGTTTTTTTTCAGAAAGATGGGTTTCCCAAGTTCACTATTTTCGATAATGACAAAAGAGTCAAACAATTTTCAAGACCGAAATAGCACCAACGGAAGATTAAGGTAACTGTCTGGTGAATCACCATTAGCGTTAACCATTACATCTTTCTGGAATCTAATCCGGACTTTCTTATCGAAATTTATGACCAGCAACTGGAGGAATCCCAATTCAGTTAAGCAAAATGCAATCGTCACTGGTTAATCGACATGATCCAATTCTTCTTGAGGACAATGCTCGGACACATATTACCAGAATGACATGGCAGAAGCATATCGAATTGCGATACGAGACTTTGTCACACCCATCATATTCCTCTGATCATTCACCCACTGACGACCGTTTCTTCAAGCATCTTGACAATTTTTTAAACAAAATGGGATTCCGTTACAAAGAAGATACAGAAACGGTATCCAAAGAGTTCCTGCTGTCCAAACCCTTAGAATTTTATCGTAAAGCCATAAATAACCTTGTAACTCGATGACAGAAATGTATAGATGTCTACACTTGCTATTTAGATTGATTAAAACACAGTTTAAATGCATTAATTTAAGAATAAAAGTTGATTCTGATATCGGACATTATTTTCCGACGACTTAATAATATGCGTATAATATTAACAAGACCTCATCCCAGAAACTCAGACGAAAAAAAAACAACAAATTAAATGTAAAAAAAGAAGCAACAACAGAACAAAATGCTTTATTTTCTTACTTATCCTCGTAATATCTGCTGTTGTGCTAAAGATATTAACCTCGAAACTAAACATGATAACCTGTATTGTAAGTTATCATTTTTTATTTCTGAACGAGTAATGGCGTTTTAGAAAATACTTAAGATTTTTTATTTGCGTGGCGGCGATGGATAGATTTTCTTCGAGTGTTAATAGGCAGGAATCCTTAATATCTTTGATGTAACTAAATGTTTATCATTATAGTTTTCATTGTTAGCGTGACGTCAGCGAATACTTACACTCATAATGGCTTGGTAAAATCAAATACAGATGAAAGGATTATTAATTTCCTGTTAGTGTGCCGATCCATTTTTTTTTAATGATTGAAGCGTGTTATGTGAAAATCTATAAATAGTGATATTCTTTTTGCTAACAGTCAGTTTTTACAAGCGGTATATTTTATGTAATGCTATTTGCTTAAAATATATATTATTTTCGTAGACAAATAACGAATGCTGTATCGCTAAGTTTTATCAGATAAAATATCCTCCTGATTCCCAAAACAAATCGGATTAATATCCTTATGTTAGCTGCTTCAATCACTGCTTTTCAGCTGTTGTGTTATTTGGACTTCTTAATATTGTTTGCAGTTTTGAGGTCAAGTGTTTTCATTATTCGCAAAATAGATCGGACTAGGATCCTCATCTTTGTTGCATCGATCGTTATTTTGCAGCCGCTGTGTTCTTCTTAATATTATCCACAGTTTAGACGGGTATCCTCATCATTATTGCAAGGGTTGCTATTTTGGTCTCTTCATAATCTATCTATCTATCTATCTATCTATCTATCTATCTATCTATCTATCTATCTATCAATCTATTTTTTTATTTCTAGTTAATGCCCTTGGAAAATGTATGGATTTATCTCCCTCAAGCGTTGTGTTAAATAGTAGGCGAGATTGAACACTCTTACCTTGATTGACATCAACTCTATGAAGCGAAATTCAAACCTCTGGAGACTACGTGACACGGTTCAACGTATATCTGCTCTGCTATCAGTTCTTTATGGTGAAGCTGGTTCTACAGAAACCATCAAATCGTCGTTGTAAGTAGTTTAAACTGAAGGAGAGACCAACATACACACGCACACATACACACACACACATATATATATTCATACATGTTTCATTAAATAATATAGACAAGTGTTGTCTATTTATTTTATGTAATTTTTTTTCATAACGTCTGATAAGTTTAATAACATTATCGTTGAACAAAGAAAGAAATTCACAATATCGATCCATATTTTTTAATACAATCTAAGCTTTCGGCTTACATAAGCCATTATCAAAGATGTCAGTTACAACATATTAAGCAATATACGGACAAGACAGTGATGATAGTCTGTCATTGTTTCCATAGATGATTTCTAATCAACGATAAATACGTGCATATAAGACGCTAGAAGCAAAATCGCACCGCATCTCATGATGTCACATATGACCACACGAGAGTGAATTGGAGAAGTATGAAGTATGGGAAGCCGTTGGTGTAAACCAATGGCTTCTGTTATCAATATATATATATATATATATATATATATATATATATATATATATATATATATATATATATTGTAGTCAGCACCAGTGTCTACATTATGTGTGAATACAATATTGCAAGTAATATTGCAAGCAGGGAAGAGTATCATCAGTATCAACATTTTTACATTTAAACATGCTCGATCCCGGATATTGATCACTTTTAGCCTACAAATATAACATAGCTTAAAACTATAATTACCATATCGTCCGGTTCACGCTCCTCCCTTGTCTTTTGAAAAGGAATACAAATATATCTTTCTTTCTTTCTTTCTTTCTTTCTTTCTTTCTTTCTTTCTCTCTCTCTCTCTCTATATATATATATATATATAGAGAGAGAGAGAGAGAGAGAGAGAAAGAGAGAGTGCAGAGTTGAATATTTTGCTTAGTCTAAGCACAATACTGACAAAAACGATTGACAACATTCTGCGATTAACCTATTTAATTTTCTTGTGTTTCAGTATAAGAAGAAAAGTGTTTCCCTTCTAGACATGACGTGTGTAAAAAATGTTCTGTATAATTGAGAGCTTTCGGCTATTCCGTTAGCCATTATCAAGGATATTTTTTACATTTTTAACTGAATGTGTAGATTTTATTCATATGTTGATAGGGTAGCAGGAATGTTTTATTATTTTCCAAACACGGTTAGCAAATTGTGGCCGTGTTCATAATTGATGCTACTGAGTGTTGGCTTTTTCTTTTTTATTATTAGTGCTTCTATTATTTTTCGACTTTTTGTACAAGGATGTTGCGGATGGAGTTTGGTATGTTTCCGTGTGTTTTGAAATGAGTCCTAATTGAGCTGTGGTCAGAGAAGTGTAACGTGAGTCCTCGTGAAAGGCATGTAGTGGTAGATCCAATGTAATTATTAATGAATTTGGTTTGTCAGGAACGCAGTTCCTAAAGGGACATGTGAATTCATAATATTGGTTGTCGGTAATTTAGTCCTTGCGGGTCTGTTGCTATTGTTGATGACAAGGTTAGCTGCTTTAAATATTTTATAGTAGATAATTAATTCAATTTTCTTGTTCTGGTCGACTAGGGTTGTGTATTTCTTTTTAATGTCTCTAAGGTAAAATTCATTTTGCTTATAGTGAACGTGTACTTGACTTTTATTTGAAAAATGTTAGTGTTACTCTTTTTATCTCTATGTTTAGCATTACTGTTGGTTAACTTACTAAGAAATAGTCTAATCTGGTGATTAATGCGGTAGATCTGAAAACCAAACATTTTTTAGTTTAAAAATATATGTTGCATATAAAATAGACTGGACTGTTATATATATACTAGCGTTGCCCGGGGATGTAACAGTAAGAGATAGATCAAGTATCGACCATCTTAAAGACTGAAAAATAAAATTGACAAAGATTATTGTTTAAGGTTGACAGACACGCATGTCTTAATTAGGTTTTTTTTTTTAGTTTAGTCTTTTTTTTTTTTTACGAATTGGTCAAACCCAAACTCAAACAAAAACATTGTTTTCAATCATTATGAGTCTACCGATTGAATAGAATTTTATTATAAACAATTGTCTTGTAAATGGAATTTTTAAAGCATTCTGAATGTAAAAATAAAAAAAAAAGTGTGCAAGACAATAAGAAACACTACCTGCCAAAAAAAAAAAAGTGAAATTTTGTTGAAATCGGTTGAAAAATATAGGAAATCCAATCCCATATATAAACGAGCACAGACACACACAAACAACCTGGGTTTTATAATAAAAAGTATAACTCAATATGAGTTGTCCCCCTTTCATTCATTTCATCGATGCCTCTTAATCATGTTTTCAAATTGATTTTGTGCAAAAACAATTGTTTTTTTCAATTTTTGGCGCTGTCAGAACCACCGCAAGGTAATTTTACGTAGTCCTGTGAAGGTTTGTTGAAATTGGTTGAAAAAAGTAGGAAATCTGATCCAATATATAAACGTACAGACACACACACACAACCTGGGTTTTATAATAAGTATGATATATATATATATATATATATATATTTATAGATAGATAGATAGATAGATAGATAGAGAGAGAGAGAGAGAGAGAGAGAGAGAGAGAGAGAGATTAAAAGGTCACTCTCTACCCAGCACCGGAAAATTGCATTGTGCATGAAACTCCAAGTCTTAATAGCTCTTTTATATTACACCGAGCACTGTTTTATTAAGACCAACATTCTATGTGCAATATATTATATGCGATGGTTAAAGTGTTGCCATTTTATATTTTTAATTTCGCGCATGCGCGTTGTTTGTTTTTTTTTTTATTTTGTTGACTGCACAATATAGTAGGGTTAGTTGGGCTACGTCTGTGAGAAAAAGAGCACCATGACGCAATTCCCTCCTTGAGAAATTTGGAAACGGCTTGCTGTACTGTTTGACATTCGCTCTGGAAGCTCCAATACGAACATTTCACAGTGATTGGGTGTCAATCTGCGGATAGTGCAGAGAATACTAATAATAAAAGAACTCCCGAATTTGTTGGTGATGGCCTCAGACTCAACACGGAGCCCTACAAGTGCCTTGAGGAGGTAGTGCTGCCCTAGGTCAAGAAGGTGGTTGATGGAAGACACGATCTTTGGCAACAGGGCTCTGCATCATGCCACACAAACAAGAGAACCCAGTCATGGCTGTCAGACAATTTCTGCGACCATATTACCCCTTACATCTGGCCGCCTAACTCCCTAGACTGCCACCCCCTTGAATATTATGTGTGAGCCTCAGTTTAGCGAGAGACCAACAGAATACCTTGTAATACCAAAGATGAACTGAAAGCAAGGATTATGGCACCATTACCAACTTAAACAAAGAGACCCCCAGAAGAATTGCAGTAGATTCCGAAGTCGTCTGGAGGTCGTGGTTGAAGTCAATGGCGATTTTATTGAATAAATTTACTCTTTAGTAGTTCCAGATATTTTTGTGTAATTTTGATAAATATATCTGTTAAAATGAGATGCCAGTTCTATTTTCATTTTTGTGTCATTTAGACGACAATTCATTTATTACACACACACACAAATATATATAGTTACGTAAATAAAATAAATAGATATTAGCCACCGTATACGCGTGCACTTGCGTGCATACATTGGTAAGCAAATAAATAATTACCAAATTTTGCCAAGAGGTGAAGACATAGACATATATAGTTAGACAGAGCTAGGAAATATATAGTAATAGATACACATATACCTACGTTAGCTGTGCAACTTAAGTTGGATACCCAACTCGTCGGGAACAAGAAATAGCTTATAAGCTACATCTTGTGCCCGACGAGTTGGGTAACCAACGAAACTTAAGTCGCACACCAAACGTAGGTATATCTGTATTTATTAATATATATATATATATATATATATATATATATATATATATATATATATATATAAAAACTTGAAAAACACTAATCCTAAATCCTGGCCTAAAAGAAAAAGACAAAAATAAGAGCCATTATGACACCTACCTTAAATAAGATAGAAAGTCTTCAATAATCGAAAAATGATATAAAGTATACAGATGGAATCCATCTCATGAACCTCAACATGACTTCAAGTGTCACGCTATGGAGCAATCCTCAGACAGTTTAGAATGAATTTTTGATGTCTGTAGTTATCTCAAAATGTTTCTATCTATACATTGATCTAATATTTGTTATCTTTGAAAAAACATCTCTCTTTTGGTAATTTCTATTTAATAAATATTTTCCGGCTTTAAATAATCTGCAAATTCTTGATACGCCGTAAATAAACATCAAATCAGTTAATGACTTCAATAATAGTGTGGGCACGTGGCCGAGTAGTTAGAACGTTCGCATTTTGGACATGAGACCCGGGTTCGAGTCTCACCATGGTCGATTTGTCAGGATATTATAGAAAAGTGTCTGAAAACCATACGACCTTGGAGGCCGACGATAGTTGTGCTAGCACAAAGTCGCAAGTCCTCAATTTGAACAACGTTCTGGCCTTGTTCAGATTGTTGATCACGCTAGATAACACGCTCTTTCCCAGAAACTGTAACTAAGGTCTGCTCAGTATAGTCGCAATATAAACCACAGGTTGGATCTGTGGGTTGTGATCAAACACAAATGTGCCTGAGCGAGCATCTGCAATAGGGATTGGTTAGCCACCCTAGTAGACGAGTATCCTCGAATATGAGTGACCAACTATACATACCGTAATATTTTTCTAGCTTTGTATAAAGAACGTCTATCCTTTGCTTACTGCATGAGAAAATTTGCGTAGAAAATGGAATTCTTACAGAGATCTCGAGTCATGACAGAGTTATATCTTTCAACACTATTTCTCTTAGCAAATGATTGAATATAAGCATCAGCGTTTTGTTCAGTTGCCAAAAAAAAAAAAATAATAATCTTGTTTCTGGTATACTACGGTGTTTTGACGAATAAAACAGTGGTGGTAATAACAGCAAACAGCTGGTACAACCATTGTCAACCTTGAAAAGTTTTTGTTAAGCTTACAAGCATCTGCACATCCGTCTTCTTCTACGTTATCATATTTGTCTTCATCAAGTGACGTAACACCCTCCCTACAAGAACTCCACCGCTTGCTTATCCCCGAATTACCACGTCACTTATTCCTTTGATGCTGCTTTTAAAAGTTAACTTGTTGGAATTGGCTATTTGCCAGTGGACACAATGAACGTGTTTTGTGAATCTGAACGACGGACCCTCGTGAGGCTGTCTGGGGTAAGAAGCGCGAAAAGGAAGCGATGAGGCTTAAGTACTTTTAGTATTACACATTGACGATCGTTCAACAAAGACGTCTTCCAAATTTCGACCAACGGCTTTTCTTCTGTTTATAATTCATATTGGCGGAAGTATCAGCTGGAAACTGTTCCAGGCGGCTTTATTATTTTGTTTTATATGTATGTGTCACTAATCAATATATCTATAAAAAAGTGCAAAAATAAGTATTATCTATCTATCTATCTATCTATCTATCTATCTATCTATCTATCTATCTATCTATCTCAGTCTTTTCCTACCTATCTTCTTCTATCTATCTATCTATCTATCTATCTATCTATCTATCTATCTATGAACAACCGCAAAAATGCGTTTTATCTATCTTTCTATTCATAAAAAAACATGAAAAACTGCAAAAATACGTTTTATCTATTGGTATCTATGAAAATCCGCAAAATTTACATATTATCTATGAAAAAATCACAATAAATACCTTTTATCTGTTGACATCAATCTATGAAAAAAAAAACGCATCTTATCTATATATCTATCTATCTATGAAAACTGCAAAAAAACGTTTTATCTATTTCTATCTATGTATCTATGCCTGTATCTATCTACGAAAAACTGAAAAATTACGTTTTATCTATTGGCATATCTCTCTCTCTCTCTCTCTCTATATATATATATATATATATATATATATATATATATATGAAAAAGCGCAAGAATACGTTTTATTTATCTATCTATCTATATATGAAAAACTGCAAAAATACGTTTTATTTATCTATCTATCTATGAAAAACTGCAAAAACACTTTTTATCTATCTATCTATCTATCTATCTATCTATCTATCTATCTATCTATCTATCTATGAAAACTGCAAAAATACGTTTTATCTATTTCTATCTATGTATCTATGCCTGTATCTATCTACGAAAAACTGCAAAATTACGTTTTATCTATTGGCATCTCTCTCTTTCTCTCTCTCTCTCTCTATATATATATATATATATATATATATATATATATATATATATATATATATATGAAAAAGCGCAAGAATACGTTTTATCTATCTATCTATCTATCGACATATCTATCTCGTCTAACATTTGTCTTATCAGAACGATACTCAACACTTGAAAGCCAGTAAAGTTATATTCGAAGGGGATCTAAAATCGATTCAAACTTACAAATGCCTTAATAATTAATTAAAATTTTCTTATGTCCCATTGAATAACGAATGGAAATGTCTTACTACAGATCCTCCCCGTAGTTTTTTCTAAAAAAATATTATCTGAACGTTTCTACTGTTAAATTCCATCTTTAATATATTCCTTATTCCTCTGAGATAATCTTTGTCCTAAATTTTATTCTCTCTTCGCTCCAATATTCAAAGATATTCCTTACATGCCAATATCCTAAGATGTTCTTTTCCGTTCATTATTTCATTGTTGGGTAATTAAATTCCTTATGCTGAATACTGTTTCTCTTGTGGTTGATGAATTATTTTTCACCTTATGACCTCTTTCCCACAGCCTCTGGCTACTCTGTATTTTCATGACAGATGTTCAGGCAAACTTCCTGGGTTCCACTAATCCAGACCTTCACAGCTAGGATGCACCATGACACGTGAACTCTGTCAAATAATCCTCATTCTCTCTATATTCTATTGGTAAGGAGCCGCCACCATTCAGACAGATAATTTCCAAGAACTGTTGTCCCGTGGAACCGACCCTACGGGATGAGCATCATGGGATTATGCTCTAAAGATTATAAGCAATTCAGAAATATGAATGACTGAATGAAGCAATGTAGGAATAAACAGATGAATGAATGAATGAATGGAGGGAGGAAGGAAAGAAGGAATGAATGAAAAACATTTTGAATAATCAATGTGAATGGAGTGAGTGTTTGAGTGACGCAAAGTAGGAATAAACGGGGAATAAATAAAGGAAGGAAAGAAGGAATGAATGAAAAACATTTTGAATAATAAATGAAAACGGAATAAATGTTTGAATGGAGCAAAGTTTGAATAAACGGTGAATGAATGAAGGAAGGAAAGAAGGAATGAATGAAAAAGGTTTTGAATAATGAATGAAAACGGAATAAATGTTTGAATGGAGCAAAGTTTGAATAAACGGTGAATGAATGAAGGAAGGAAAGAAGGAATGAATGAAAATGATTTTGAATAATGAATGAAAAAAAATGAGTGTTTGAATAAAGCAATTTTAGAATAAACGAATGAAAAAAGGAATTAATGAAGGAAAGAAGGAATAGCTAAAAAGATTTTGAATAATGAATGAAAAAGTATGAATGAACGAATGAAGCAAAGTGGGGATAAATGGTGAATGTATGAATGAATAAAAGAAGGAATGAATGAAAATGATTATAAATAATGAATAAAAAATAATGAATTAATTGAAAGAAGCAAAGTGGAAAAAAAAACGGATGCATAAATGAATGAAGGAAAGAATGAAGGAAAGAATGAAGGAAAGAATGAAGGAAAGAATGAAGGAAAGAATGAAGGAAAGAATGAATAAACCAGGGCAGGAAAAAGCGAGTAAGGAATGAAGTAAGGTGCGGAAAACGTAAGAAACACACACACACACACATATATATATATATATATATATATATATTAAGAAATGGACAAGGTCCGACAATTTATTTATTAAAGACATTTTTTTCCGTATATAAAGACGGTTCCGTATAGGATGCAGGTTCGAATCCTGTCAAAGAACGAATATTTTCTATGAAAATTTCTCGGACATTCAGGCCGGTAAATGTTATTTAATACTGTTTATCATAAACAGAGCATTTGCTTAAATACTTGTATCTATAAAATAACAACGTTAAACATAAAAAATGTCTTTAATAAATATATATATATATTCATCAAAGGATGAAAACATGAAAATTAATTTAGAAATGAATGTAACAAAGAAAGCAGGAAAGAATAACGCAATAACGGAATGAAGCAGGGAATAAATGAAGCAAAAAAATGGAATGAAATAAAGAATAAAAAGTATAAAATGAAAAAAAGAGCACCGAATAAAGACTGCAAAGACTGAGTGAAACAAAGAATGAATGAAACAAGGAATGAATGAAACAAGGAATGAATGAAACAAGGAATGAATGAAACAAGGAATGAATGAAAATCGAAATGAAATAAAGCAAGAATTGAATGTGGTAAAAATTAAAATGAAAGAATTAAAAAAAAAATAATTAGCCGAAGAAGAAAAAATAAAGTGAAGAAATAAATAAATTGAAGGAACTGAAGAAGTAAGCTAGAATTTAATAAAACAAAGAATGAATTACACAAAGATTGAAAGAGGCAAGAATCCAATGTCGCAACACTTGAATAAATATAAGAATGATAAAAGCAGGTAATGACTAACTTACGGAATGAAATAAAGAATGAGTGAAGGAGTGACTGAAGAAAAGAAAAAAATAAATTAATAAAGAAATAAAAAAAAACTGAATGATAGAGTGAAAGAAATAAAGCGGGAAAATGAGTGTCCCATAATGATTGTTACATTTGCTTATATATTTCATGCACAAAATGTAGCAACTATTATGGGACAATAATATTACAATATTTCACGAGAAAGGAATACAGTAGCATTATATGCTTATGGTGTGCGGATAATGTAACGTATGTAACCGCTATGAAAAATCAGAGAATTAAGTTCGAATTCTGGCCTAGTTCATTGCGTTCACTTTTACATAAACAACATTATGAAAGTTATGAATCGCACTCTTCTATCCTTAAATTAAATAAGAGATCAAACTAGACTCTCTCTCTCTCGCCTTGGCTGGCAACCAGTCTAAGAGAAAGACAACTTTGAATTCAAAACCGGCTGGCAACGTCACCCCGTGAAAAAAACTGTTGCAACGGAAACCACAACAGTAATACTTAGCATGATGAGTAAGTCGTCCGATGTTTCACAGGCTAAACTGAGGAAGACAATGAGAAAGCGAGAGAGAATTATAAGCTTAGCTATTCGAACCAGCATGATGATCTTGATTGTAATACTCACAAAATTTCGGCCATTATATCTTCTGACCTTCAGTTGCATGTCTTCGCACTCAGTACCATAAGCGGTATTTCAAACAGAACCATTTATTCAAACCAGAGAATAATTTGTTCGTGTTCCGCAGTTCCTGCTTAGGGGGAGATAACTCATATCAGTTAATACTTACCAGTTTTATTCACTTTTGCGTCGCTTGTCCGTTTCTTCCACTGAACCAGCGTAAGTGATATTTCAGCGCTACCAGACCCAGGGATTGATCACCGACTTTGTCGAGTATGAGAAGCAAGATGAGCATGCAATAATGATAATTCCTTATTTCATAAAACTTCCGACAGAAACTGGAATAAGAAATGCAATATATATGATGAGAATGATATCAGGGGAAAGCAATACATAACGCAAAGGAACGTATACGTACGACTTCTGTCTGAAAAGTAACGGGTCTGGTGTCCTATACTGTTTATTTCTATTTCAAACAACAAACTACAAGGCTTTCCTCTTCAAAGTAATCCCCATTGAGTCTGATGCACTCTTCCACGCTTCTATCCACTTTTGGAAGGATTCATCTTGGATGCTCTTCAGCTCCATCGTAACGACCCTCTTGGGGCCCTCAACACCTTCAAAACGAGTCCCCTTGATGATCTACTTGAGACCGGGTAATAGAAAAAAATCACACGAAGCAAGATCAGGTGAATAGAAAGGTTGTTCCAGTACGGCGACGTTCTTCTTGGCCAAGAAATGCCGGATGCTCAAGGCGTTGTAAGCAGGTGCATTGTAATGGTGAAGCAGCCACGATTTGTCCTGCCACAAAAACATGTAAAAAAAATGCAATGCTTTGCAGAAAGCTGAAATTACAGTTAGATACTCCCAAAATATAATGATAGATGATAACAATACTCTTAACCCTGTTTCACCAATAGTTCACTCAGCACAGCCAGTACCGTTACTTTTCAGCCAGACGTATGTTTTATGAACTACACAAAAGTATTAGATAAGGCACGACACAACGATCTATTTGTATTGCGAGGAAATCTTGATATATTGGGAAGAATATTAGAAATACCTGACTCCTCCTGTTATCTTCTAACTTTACAAGATCCAGATCAGACCAAAAACTGTCGGCATGTGTAGGCAGGAGCGGCCCAATTTTAACTTTCCAGTTTCAATAGAGTTCAAAAGCGTCTCCATGTCTTTCCACCCTACGATCCGATTCTCGTCGTTGAAACGTCGAAAGCCTCTGGCTGCTTTATCGTTCTTTCCGTGGTTAGTATTAAGACAAACTACATTTCTTCGTTTCACCAGTTCTAACCTTGACGTCTAAGACACCCCATACTAAGCACACTGTCGCGAACTAACCTCATACCCTTCGTATTCCATTGGTCATATTGGTCGAGTTCAACTCGAGTAGCTTCTTCTCACGAACGGCTGCCGCGCGGAACCTACCCAAGAAATTGCTTCCCCAATCACTACAATGATAACCAGTTCAAGTCTAGGGTTAAACTTTATCTTCCCCACATATCCGCATAAACTATGCCTTCCGAGTGGTTCCCGGGCCTTGAACAGGACGAACATCATTGTAATACATACATACATACATACATACATACATACACACACACACATAAAAACATACATACATACATACATACATACATACACACTTAAAAACATACATACATACATACATACACACACACACACATACATACATACATACATACATACATACACACACACACACATAAACACACACACACACACAAACTATGCCTTCCGAGTGGTTCCCGGGTCTTGTACAGGACGAACATCATTGTAATACATACATACATACATACATACATACATACATACACACACACACACACACACACACACACACACACACACACACACACACACACATATATATATATATATATAGTAAAAAAAGAAAAACAGTAAGATATATAATCCGGTGGTCTTATTGATATTTTTATGTTTACAAAGCAGTGCACAATGTAAATTTACAGATCATAAATATTATAAATTAACTCATTTAAAAATATCGTTTCATCGCGATGACGTTATATTGTTAAATCCGTTAATTTATAGTATATATATATATATATATATATATATATATATATATATATATATATATATGTGTGTGTGTGTGTGTGTGTGTGTGTGTGTATTTAAATCAGTTAATTTATAATATATGTATTTATAATAGAATTAGTTATATTTATAATAGTAGATTATTATAGTTAATTTATAATATATATATTAATTTATATAAATATATATATATATATATATATATATATATATATATATATTGTTGAAAAAAGCTACCTTCAACTGTTGAGCATCTAGGTAAACTTTATGCGTGTGTGTGTGTATGTGTATCTATGTATACGTGTTTTGTAATATAAGCCAGTCATTTTTTGTGAAGTGGTTTATTTACGTCGTGTCTTCGATCTGAACATCCATACCATCAATATGCAAGTATATATTTATATATAAAAGTAAGTATAACTTACTTCCAAGTTGATGTTTTTTTTTCAATCATTTAACATTTAAGATTTATCTGCACGTTTTTTTTTTTCTCTCCATCGAGAATGTCTACATGTTTACACTATGTGCACACGTTTAAAACTTTGTAACTAATGTTCTGGTCGTGTCAGTTAAGATAAGCAACTGGTCGTATCTGGGAAAATAAAAAAGTGTTGTGAAACAATGGTGTGTCGTCTAACTAGATTTATTCAACCTTTACATCGGGGCAATGTTAAGAGAAAATAGTAGTTTTATTAGCATTTATTATTGTCGAGCAGAATCTTAACAACATAAGACACGCAAGTGACACACTGTTGATGGCAGACAATGAGTGAAAACAACAGAAAATCATCGACAACGTAGTAAAGTAAGCGGGAAGAAAGGAATAGCTATTAATTTTAAGAAGACAAAATATATGATTGTGACAAAGAGAAATATGCCGAGATGCAAGCTACAAATGAGAGATACTAAAATTAAAGAAGTTTAAAGGACAACAACATTATTATTGATAAATATAAATATAAAATATTAATAATAATAACAATGAATATCAGCAATAAAATAAAATAAAACAAATAACATTAAAACTTTGTTTAGAATAAATTAAGTAAAAAAAAAAAATTCTCCCAGCATGCAGAAACAATTACTGTCGTCAAACGGTCTTCCCGCCAAGTGACGCTGAATTCATTCTCTTCGCCACTAACCGTTAGAAAGTTAAAACCTTCAACTCCTTTCTCCGGGACACTGCATGTGATAAAACGAAGTGACTTCTTCCTTTTATCACATGCAAAACACTTGTAACCAAAAATATACACATCAGTACACAAAAATAAATAAATTGTGTGATTTTAATTTACAATTTAACATGCGTTTAGTGTTATTTCTCTTTATGTTTTTATTCTTGTGAACACGAGGCTATTTCTGTTGCTTTGATGTGAGTGACCTCACAAAGTACAAAAATGTAATTATCTTGGAAGTGTTATAACAGACAATTGGAAGTATGACAATGAATTTAGAACATGCATTGGAACTGGAATAGTAAAAGATGCTTTCCAAAAGCTAAGTAAAGAATTAATCAGGAACATTTATTTAGAAACAGAGAAAATAGTGTCGAAATGCTATTTAATATCAATCTTCCTATATGGCAGGTATATACTAGTAAGCTTCTTTACAGAGTAAGTTTTAAGGAAAATGGAAATGAAAAGGACACAGTTAGTCGGAAGCCTAATGAGGTAAGTGGACTTGGAGAATTTGACACTCACAGGACACTGACAGAGAAGCAGGGGAAATAGCAATTAACATGTTTAACAAATTTGTGTAAATGGATGGCAGAACCGATTGCGATAAAGGATAGTAAAAAAAAAAAACACGACAAAAAAACAGCACAAAAAATTTCTTAGAGCTACAAAGAATAGGAAGTTGCCCTCTACCAAAAGGGGCATGACACATAATAGATAGGATAGTTTAATTTATTTTTGAGTCTGAATTCACCCCAAGCAAGGCTATAATGCCACTAAGACGCAAGGAATTACTGGGAGTGAAAGAGAACGAAAAAAAAAAAAACTTTGTAAGAAACCAGAAACATAATCCTAAACAGGAAACAAGGGATAAACCTCTACTCCTGTTCAAAAGACCGGAGAGGATGGTGAACCTAAAATAAGCGAACTTATCTACTCCTATCGATAAAAAATAAACAAATAGTGAACAAAATTTCAGAGTTCAAGCAGAGACGTTACAAGTTGAAATAAATTGTAAAACAGAGGTTCTCAACAGGGGGTCATATGAACCCTGTAGGTCTATGTAACGTTTCCATTACTGGGAGTCCATACAAAAAATAGTAAACTAGGGTCCATGTTATATGTTAGTGGTCCACAGAGCGATTTTACTTCGGAACGGTTGTTACAACAGATAATTGGAATTTCTACAATAATCTACGCCATATTAAAATACTAAAAAAACAAAAACTCTAAAACTAGCAGAAAACGAGATCAATCGATGTAAATTAGCGTCCCTTTTACTCTTCTCTGATCGTAAAATTCGAATAACAACTGAAAAGGATATATAAAGGATTATATATATAAACGAAAATTATATAAAGTTATAGTTTATTATATAAATTAATTTGATATATTAATAATGAATAATAATATTAATTTTAAATATTAAGAAAATAAAATAAAAATATTAATATAAATTAATATAGACTCGACATTGTGAACATTGGTGATAGCGAATCAAAAAAAGTAGATCACCTTTCCTATTCAGGCATATCTATTTTTATATGCTTTTTACACCAACTTGTTATATTGGCTTAATAAAGTCAGTTTTGTCTTAATTTATACATTACATAATTATTTCTTTAAGCATGAACCTCGGCTAATACTAAAATACATTGGGTTTTCCTATGTCAGATGTCCGCCTCACAACCATGTCGATGTTCTTCATCAGCGGTTTTCACAATTTTATCTTCTGAAATGTCCACGGTCTCGCTTCTCTTCGCATTGTTGGCTTCACGCGTTGCAGTTTATCGATTCCCTATACTGATAGTTCAAATGCAAAGTTTCGCTGCTCTAACCCGTCTTTTCTTATTTTGCTTTGTGCATTTCTTATGTCCAATGATAGACACTCTTTACGTTTTGACGGACACACTAAATCTTCCTCATTTTCTTTTCTGTTGGTTGCATTGTCGTATAATTGTTTTTATTTAATCTAATTTTCCGTTCTTTGCAAGTAACTAAAATAAAAACTTCAACGAGTGTGAAAGAATCCAACAGAAAAAGAAAAAGAGAAACGTTAGCCTTTAGTCGTTATTGACGCCAAGTCTTTAAAAAAAAAAGATCCGATTGAGACGTGACCTTGAACTAACTATGACCAGAGAAAAGAGTACAAAAGTGTAACGAAAGCCTCGTAACATTGTTGCTAAGTAATGAATGCAGTCGTAATTAGATCAAAAATTAAGTTAAATGCTTCTTTTACAGAATCATACCAGCTTTTCGATTCAAGTTTCAGATCAGGAAATAATGGAAGCGCTGATCCACATTATCTATTTCTTTTAGTTTCATCTGTTATCATTCATTCCACCATTTTGTTCTCTGATCAGTTATGTTTTCAGATTTTTATTGTCTGGTCCATTTGGCTTTTAGTTTATCATTTGCAAAGTCATTTTTTTTTATGGGCTTCTCTTTCTCTTACAAAGTTTATGGCTTTTGAATTGTGTCTCAGTTCTGTAGAGAGTCGACCAAACCGTCTGTTTTCTTTCATATGAAGAAAAATGAGAAGAAAAAGCGAACATAAGTTTACTATTTTTGGGGCTCAACTCTTTCAATTGTTTTCTTTTCATTTTATTTCTGTTTTATATTTCTATATTTTTTTTATTAATATTTTAAAACTCTTCTTTCCTCCTCCGAGGAAAAAAAATTCTTTCTTTCTTTGTAATTATTCGAGACTTTGTTTTTAATTTTCTTTCTTTCTTTCTTTCTTTCTTTCTTTCTTTCTTTCTTTCTTTCTTTCCTTCTTTCTTTCTCTTCGAGGCTTTCTTTTTTTTTTTTCTTTCTTTCTTTCTTTCTTTCTTTCTTTCTTTCTTTCTTTCTTTCTTTCTTTCTTTCTTTCTTTCTATTCGAGACTTTCTTTTTCTTTCTTTCTTTCTTTCTTTCTATTCGAAACTTTCTTTTTCATTTTCTTTCTTTTTATTTGAGGCTTTCTTTTTCATTTTCTTTCTTTCTTTCTTTCTATTCGAGACTTTCTTTTTCTTTCTTTCTTTCTTTCTTTCTTTCTTTCTATTCGAAACATTCTTTTTCATTTTCTTTTCTTTCTTTCTTTCTTTCTTTCTTTCTTTCTTTTTATTTGAGACTTTCTTTTTCATTTTCTTTCTTTCTTTCTATTCGAGACTTTCATTTTCTTTTCTTTCTTTCTTCTTTTTTTCTATTCGGGACTTTCTTTTTCATTTTCTTTTTTTATTTTTTCTTTCTTTCTTTTTATTCGAAACTTTGTTTTTCGTTTTCTTTCGTTTTTTTTCTCTTTATCTTTTACGCACTTGCTTTCTATCGTAATTTCTTTTTTTTTTTTTTAATAGTATATTCTATTTCCAATAGTTTTTGCCCAGGTTTCTCATATTCTTTCTTTCTTTCTTTCTTTCTTTCTTTCTTTCTTTCTTTCTTTCTTTCTTTCTTTCTTCCTTACATTTTTTTTTACATGCTATATTTTCTTTCCATCTATTTTTCCCCGGTTTATAATTTTCTTTTTTCTTTCTTTTTTAGTTACATACTTTCATTTTATTTATCTACTTCTTTAAACATCTTTATTCATTAACGTTATTATTTACTCGTATGCATGCCTTTCTTTCATTTTTCTTTCTTTTTTTCGTTCCTCACGTCTCTTTTCTATCTCTTTTGCCAATGTTCTTCATTCCTTCTTTCTTTGTTGGTCATTTTAAAACTTCCTTTTTTTGTACATCATTATTATGAAATTGTCTAATACAAAAAGGGAAATGAAAGAAAAGAATCACGCAAGGTTCACGTCATCTTCATTGGATTTTAATCCAAATTCTTTAGACAGAAAACAGCCAATGCTTTTTACAAACGACGAAGCCCTGCTTGAAAGTGTGCGTGTTTGTATAAAATTTTTTTTTTTTTCTGACGCCATCTTTCTGTACATATTATTAGCTTAAGACTTGTGATGCTTTTTTCTTTCCCTTTTCTTTTTTAGAGAGATTGGGGAAGAATTTTTAAGTTGTCTTACGTCGAGGGCAGAAATAATGATTGCGTGTTACACCTTCATTTTATTTAAAGTAACTACCAAATCACAATTTTTTTGTCATGCGCGTTCGAGAACAGAGAGTTATCTCCCTTGTTCGTCTAACACTGCAAATTTGTATTTTCCTCTATGGCTGAATGTCGTGAGGTGCGATCTGGCATGTCCTTTTTTTACTGAGTGACTCAGGAAAATTTTTGAATGGCCAAAAGCCGGATTATTTTAATGCCAATATACGAGTTGACTGTTCAAGACAGGCCAAAAGCAACAGCTCTCGTCTTCTTATCAAAGTTAAGCAACGTTAAATCTGATCAATGCTTAAATGGACGTCCTCTAAAGAACACAAAATGCTATTAGCAGATTGTGGCCTGGTGCTAGCCTTATAAAAATGACGGCAATTATTAGAAAGTTTTTATATTGAGATGCAATTAGACAAAAGCTGTGAATCAATGTATTGAGATAAAAAAAAGCGGGAATCCAGAATTCACAAATAAAATAACCCGTTTCTTTTCTTAGGACTTCAATGGTATCCATAATTCATTGATTACTACTGGCATTATATAAGTCGCTTTTTACTCCATATCTTTTCCTATAAAAATATTGAGCGTTTAATATAACTGTGTCTCTAAATAATTTGGTTTGTTTTCCAGCATATTATCCTCAATGAGTTATTTAATGCCGACAAGATTTTTATTGCTGCTAACAATTTTTCCAAAAATGTATTGCTGATAATATTTCCTCAACAACGTATTGTTGGTAATATTTTTCCATCAAAAATGTATTACTGGTAACATTTTTTCTTTCAAAAATTCATTTATAGCAATAATGTTTTACAAAACCGTATTGCTGGTATTAAAATCTATTTTTACACTTTCATCGTGTTATGACCCCAGTGTGTGTGTGGGGGGGGGGTCAACTATTTACCCATAGCTAGAGTCCTAACAGGTGCTACAACCCTGGGTCAGGGTGGACCTGGAACCAACAGCAATTAAGAGGTGATCAGAGGCATTGCTGTTGGATGTAGTTTATCGTCTTACCCGGAACTCGGATGCAGTTTATCGTCATACCCAGGACGCGGATATAGTTTATCGTCATACCCAGGACGCAACTCGAAACAGAAAGTCCTTTCTAAAGAAAAAGTTTATAACAGAAGCACAAAAACGGCGATGTCAAAGAGTATTTCAAAACCAAGTTGAAGCAAGACGATCATATAGTAGACAGAGGTATCTGTCATTGCTAGGGCCGAGTCTTAGTAGCTGGTTTGAGACATGAATTCGTCATCGCCATTTAACTACTGCTAGGTACCTCCACGAAAAAAATCCGCCTTCAATGATAAAAAGATGCTTTAAACGTAATAAAAACATAATTTTATCGTCAAAATCTTTATGTTTTTAATTAAGAGAAAGGATCAAATTATTTTCGATTATTTAATTAAACTTTTACTCCTTTTTAGAACATTCGAAACTTTGACTAAAAAACTTGTTTTTCTTGTGTCAGTGGTTGTACTAACTTTGCATAGCAAATTTTAGCTTCTGTTTTTTTTTGGGGGGTGACACACATTAATTTGAAAATTCTCACAAAAATTAAATAATGATCGGATTTTAATGAAATTTCCAGGAATTATTCACAAATGAAAGAAATTATTTTTGTAACATTTTTATTAGAAAATCTTGATAAAAATATTTTCTTTACTGGGTTTCATCCCCTTACTTAACTTTATGAAAACTTAAGGAATTCAGCGTAATAATTTTTAGTGACAATAATAGGTAAAAGTAGAATTATTTGAAGAATTTAAATCGCCGAATTTTTCAAAATCTGACTTCGTCTTATCAACAATCTGTTTTTAATCGAAGATTAAAAAAAAAAAACGTAATAAAACTTAGACATTATTTAATTAGAGAAGCTTATGAATACTTTTCTGAATAATCTATATTACAGACAATATAGCCTGAAGAAAAAAGATTTTCTCATGAAAAATGAGTTTTTATAAGATTTTTTCATTTCTTACAATTTTAAATTGAATAATTTTTAAATATTTTAAAATTCAGTTTCATTGTGATAACTCTTAGAAAATGTTGGTATTAATTAAAACTATATTTACTAATCATATATTGTAAAGTTTATTGCTATCTGACGAAACTTGAATATTTTAAAAATAATTTCGATTTGTTTTTGTATGTGTGATATACGTACAGAATTTCTAATTATGGATGTTCCAACTTATACATTATCATTAAACGGTCACGTGTTTTAAGAGTTGTCCCGCCTTACGGGAAAAGTAAAACCCCTCATATAAACTTTATTGTCTGCGCCACCAGACTTAATTATGAACTTGTTCGGCGGTCATTCGTTGTCAATAAATCGATTAACACGTCAGAAAAACAAGACCCCCGTGGTAAAGAAATGCTTGTATAAAACAGTTTATGTTATAGGTAAGTAATATTTGTTTCAAATCAGATTAATTTAACTTTACATTTGCTAATTTTCCTCAATATATATTTTATTTTTACAAGATTTTTTAAAACCGAGAATTAACTTTTGTTTAGAAACGTGTCAAAATGGTCGTTTTCATCGATTTTACGGAAAAAAAATAGAATCTGATCAATATAGTTTCTGTTTGAAATACACTACAGAATATTTTACATGCTGGAAATACTAAATTTTAAATCCTTTAACTTTTAATTAAATTTAAAATGAAAGCTTCCAAAAGGCTTTTTCATTTAAAAAAAATCATTTTTAAGCTTTATGTATACTGAATTAGTAGAGATACCTAATTGAGACACTTTTACACATTTTCACCGTTGTTAAAAGTGTATCAACTGTCTCTTTCTGACAGAAGTGTTCTTGTCGCTCCAATTTTCCATAAAACTTCCTCATTGTTCACATGTTTTCTAAATGTATTCTTAGCACTCATCTGTAGAGTCACGTCTCTCTCGCTTTGAGTAAATTCTATGAAAAGATTATGCAGTATGTACTGCCATATAAGAGGATTGATATTAGATAGCAGTTCAGCAGTCTATACATTGTTATAACGATATCTGAATGTTTTAATACTTTGTTTAGTTTCTATTCCTACGCATTGCAAAACTTACTAACTGGTAAATTCTGGCAAACCAAAGTTGCAGTTTAATATATATATATATATATATATATATATATATATATATATATATATCACTAAGGGTCTTAAGTGCTATGAGTCCATTATATATATATATATATATATATATATATATATATATATATATATATATATAATGGATTAATTGATTCAGTTATAACAATCTTAAGTAGCACTTAAGATCCGCTAGTGATTTACAAAGGAGGCCGCATATGGAGCAAGAGCAAGGATTGTGGGATGAGATCACTGTTAGACTGGCTGACCTTTTAGATCTTGCTCTCGCGTCTTGAAGACGCATCAGACAAGCTGATTGAAAACTGCTGAGTCCACTAAAATACGTTGATCTCCATTCTACCCGCTCCAAGGCTAAGCGCTCAAGGGTGTTATATTGACAGCTGACAAGTTGCTTTTCAGCTTGTCTTTGTATCTTAGCCACGGGCGTCCTACATTCCTGTAGCTCTGATCTAACTGGCTGTACATTAGGATCTTGGGTATCCTGTCATCAGACATTCTCAAGACATGACCAGTCCACCGTTACTGAGACTGTATGAGAAATGTCTCGATTCCTCCAATATTACACCTGTTAAACAGGTCTACGTTAGATGTAGAAGCTTAACTCCACAGATGACACGCAGACAGCTTTTATTGAAAATATTCAGCTGGTGTATATGGTACCTGTATGGAGTCCACGACTCTGAGCCGTACAAAAGCCGAATTGTTGTATGCAGTCGAATACCCCGGTCATTCCACAAGCACTGGTAGCCTTAGCAATCCGATGCATGATTTCATCATCTAAAGTTCCACTGTAGTTGACTTTGCTAGGTGAAAGACTTTACATAGTTCAGAGCTTTTATTCTACTTTCAATGGTCTCTCGGGAAATTTGTATATTGGTGGTTTTTGTTTCTCACCACAGAATTGCTTTGGAGTATGACAAGGTTGGTGCACTACTTCAGTTGGCATTATGCTAAGTGTAAGACCAAAGCTTTATATTCAACATGATGATGACCTTTAGCATGTTTTCTGGGGTGCCGAATTTCCTCAAGACTTGCCAAAGAGCCTCTTGATTGAGAGTGCCAAAGAGCCTCTTGATTGAGAGTGCCAAAGGCCTTCGTCAAGCCCACAAACACCATGTACAACTGGTTTTTCTATGCAACTTGAAGAGAAAATATCATGTCAATGGTGCCACGATCCGGCCGAAAACCACACTGCGATTCAGGATAGATGTCGTCAACAAGGTGTATAATGACTCTGTTTAGAATCAGTCTAGCTAGGATTTTGCCTGCAATTGAAAGTAGTGATATTCCCCGATAATTATCACAGACACACCAGAACATTTGTTTTTGTAGAGGTGTT